TTTACCGTGGGGAGTCTATTTTGGGTTCCGACTTTCACCTTTTATTTACTTGTTGGGTTTTATTTATGTTGCCAGCCGTGAGTCAGAGTGGAGGTGGGGCGTGTCAGGGATTGAGAGCGAGTGGGTCTGGGGTGTGGAATGACTTGGGCACCATCAGGACTGTGCAAGGAGACTGTTTGAAGAGTGTTAGTGGCTGGGGAGGCTGCTTCTGGGAGAAATAGGATGTAAATGTCTGTAGAGGCAAGAAATCAGATAGGGGCAGTGGGCAGCTTTGCCTTCCCGTAGAGCAAAAAATGGGGCATTGCCCCCCTGTGCGTTTGGAGGTGCATCTCTGTGGGCAGATTCCAGTGGGGTCCTGCAGGAGGCTGAGTCCTGGTCTGTGCCACGCAGAGGGAAGCCAGAGCCACTTTCCTAGAATGAGGCTGGCTTTTGAACAGGAGGAACTTTGGGAAAAGATGGATCTTCTCTGTGATTGGCTGGTGAACTTGTGAATGCTGTCCACCCATGTGGGTGAAAAGAAACTCTAGCATGCTCCAGCCTCATAGGCCCTGTGTTGGTCGTACTCTATCTCTTGCTATTCGTCAGCATGACTAGAGCACCCAGGTGCATCTTGATTTTCCCCTCTGGTTGTTCATAGCCAAGGGCAAAGGTGGCCTCCTGGTAATAGCACCTTTGTTTGTGCAGCGAAGAGCAGTTCACAAAGGACCGCTTTCACCCAGGTTATCTCATTTGATTCCCCACAGCTGCCCTTGGGAAGGGGGGGTGTGATTGTCCCCACTTTGTGGATGAGAGCACTGAGGCTCAGAGGGTCGAGCAAGTTACCCAGATCACAGGCTTGGCAAGCAGCCCAAAGTTTCTAAGTCCAAGTCCCTTGCCCTTTCACATCGGCGAGGACTGCACCCTGCCTCAGCCTGAACCGAGCTGCATCATCAGGAGCTGTTTGCTTGCAGCCTTGGGAAGGCTGGTAGAGTTTGGAGGGATTGGGAAACAACTGAATCCATTCCTTGTGGTTATGAACGCTCATCTTGTTGCCTTTTTCAGGCAAAGAGTATTTCCATTTGGAAGGCTTCCAAAGTCAGAATTGCATGCCCTCCTTTAGACAGGTGTCTGGGTGAAGTCGGTGGAGAGAGGATGGTCCTCAGTGTACCTGGTACTTGAAGAAGTAAGACTTGCCTGACATTATTTTTGGTGCTTGCTGTGAGCCAGACACCATGCCAAAGGTTTTGTATGCATTATCTCACGTAATTTGCAGATGACCCTTTGGAGGTGGGAATTAGGATTCGTTCATTCCATAGGTGCGCTTACCCTGAGGCTAAGAGAGGCTAAGTAACTTGTCCAAGGTCTTGCAGCTGGGAAGCAGCCTAAGTGGGATTTGAACCCAGCAGTTTGCATAACCATTGTGCTTTCCCACCTGAGGCCGTTGTGGTTTTTGTCACCTCGGTGTCCTGGGGTGAGAGAGGTCCTCAGGTCAAAGCTGTGTGGTCACAATTTGAAATGTCATAACCTAAACTCCCTCTACCTTTCCCTTCTCTTTCAGATTGACCCCAAGGTGGCCTTTCCTCGGAGAGCACAGCCTAAGGTAAGTCACGCCCGTGGCTGGGAAGAGCTCTTTTCTTGCAGGCAACTCTGGGTAGTGATTTTGCCAGCCTTCTGTTCTGGAACTTCTGTTTGGAGTTGTTCTGGAACGGGCTGGGGTGGGAGGGATGGATCTCCTTGCTCAGTGGAATGAAGACACGAAGCATCTTTCCATCTGTGCTCTGGGGTATAATGGAGAGAGGGGGCTGCATGTGTGGGGAGGAAGGAGAACCTCTCAGGGGATTCATGGTCCTGTATTTGAAACCAGTACAGTTTGGACCCTGAGACTAATTCTGACTTCATAGATCACGGCCTCTGTGCATGGAGCCCATGTGCACAGGCTTATCCTCTGAAGCTGAGCTAGAGTTGGACCAGGGAGCTTACCTCTGACCCCCTAGTCACCCTCCTATCCTGGTGTGAGGTGTGTTGGCCTTGCAGAGGGGGAGGGACCATCGAGCCTGTCACCTGTTGTCTTTCAGTTTAGCTATCTTATGGCTGATCTTTCAAGCGTTCCCTCTCTGGGGAGAGGGACAGTGTGTGCAGAAAATGGGTTTCTGAGCAGTTGAGCAATATAGCAACTCAAAATTTGTTGCCAGGCAGGGTGATTCACGCCTATAACCCCAGCACTCAGGAGGCTGAGGCAGGAGGATTGAGAGTTCCAGACCAGCCTGCATTACAAAGTGAGACCCTGTCTCCAAATACAAACACCAAAAAAACCCAAACAAACAAACAAACAAAAAAAACTTCTGGTGCAGGGTAAGGGCCTCAGATTCAATTCCAGGCCTCATGGCAACTAGCCAGATCTTAATGTTTAAACCATGGACTATACGGAAGAGGAAGAAAGGCTAATTATAGTACAGGGAGTCAGGACTCCTGAGTTTGCTAACTTGTCATGTGTTCTAGGACTAGATCCCTTTCCAGGAGAGCTGTTTCCCCTTTATAAGGGGGTTAGTGGTAACTGAGGTGCTTTAGGATTCTGAGCCAGTGAATTCCATCAAGGACCTCAGCGCCTGCCAGGGCAAAGGGAGAGGAACAGTTTTAGGAGACAGGAAAGGGGCATCTCTGGAAGGGGTCCAGCAGAGGGCCTGAAAGCAATTATGGAGCAGGTATTCGAAGGAAGCCACACCAGGGAGCACATGGTCGGAATTGGGTTAATTCCATTAAGCAGTTTGGTGACAGAAGGTGCTTTAGTGTTAGGATGGGGCCGGGAATTGCCGCGGATTAGCCATGCGCTCCTGGGGTAATTAGGACCATGTGTTCCTCCTAAAACAGGGCTGGGGCCACGGGGCTGCCAGAGGTTGGGTTGGGAAGAGGTTGATGAGGAAAATGTCGGCGTTAAGTTCAGGGAGACAGTGGGATGGCTTTGGTGTCTCCTAGGAGGGCTGATAGGGCCTTTGAGTGAGACTGAGGGCCTGGATCATTGACCCTGCCCCCTTTTCCACGAGTCCTTTGGGAAGTCATCTTCCAGACACAGACCCAGGGGAGGGAGGCATACCCAAGCCAGCCAGGTTGTGGGGCACACAGCTGCCTATGACAGGCCTAGAGGCGGGACCCCAGGGGGGAGCTTGGGGGTGCCTTCCGAGAGACACTGGGGCCACAGAGAGCTTGTCAGCTGGCATCCTGGCAGGGGGGCTTGAGCCCCTGCTGGTGGCTGTAGGCCACGGGACTCAGATGCCCTCTTTCTCAATTCCCTCCCCTAACAGATGGTGACTCGAACGAAGAAGATCTTTGTTGGGGGACTGTCAGTGAACACCACGGTGGAGGACGTGAAGCAATATTTTGAGCAGTTTGGGAAGGTGGGTCTTGAATGGGGGGTGCTTGCTGGGGCTGTGAAAGTGCCACGGAATAGGTCAGTAGCAAGTAGGGATTAGCCAGCTCACCCTAAGTCCTATACAAGGGGTCGGGGTGGGGGGCTGGGTCGTTCTGTAGGTGAGGCCAGGCCAAGCCACCGTTCCATCTGTGGGCCTCAGACTCTGGACATCCCCAAGGAGAGGAAGCCACACAGTAGCATCCCTGTTGTTGCCTTTCCCTTTTATTTTTCTCCTTCTTATCTTCATTCTCCCAAGGGAGGCGGTGCTCCGGTAGCCAGTTCAATCCAGTCACCGCTTGGCCTCCTGGGAGTTTGCACCTGTCCAGGCTTGGGCAGTTGCACCTTTCCCTCTCCTTCCTGGTGAGGATGATAAGGAGGCCATAAATGTGACTCCTGACTGCACTCAGTACCCTGCTTGCACAGGTGGGGAGCTTGGGGCAGGAGCTGGGGGAGCTGCTGATCCCATAGGTATTGGGGGAACCCGAAAAGGGCACCACCCCAAATTCTAACCTGGCCCAGAGTATTGACTTGCAGCTCTGAGGTGCCCTGAGTTTTTCTGAGCCTCTCAAGAGGTAGGCTGTAAATAGGAAGTGTGGTGACATCCGACAATAAGGTATCCCCAGAAAGATGAGCAGGATGAACTTCAGGGCCCAAGGAGAGATGACAAGAAGGGTCCAGCGTGGTGTCAGGGGAAGGAGGGCAGCTTTGCTTGGAGCCTGGGTCCCTGGTATTTATTTTAGGTGAGATGGGCTTGAGGTTGGGTGCCCACTTTTCCAGCAAGGCATTTCTAGTTCCCCAGTAGGCCACGCTGGATGTGGCTTGGGAGATGAACTGGGAGCTGTGGCTGGTGAGGGGGTCCCCTGGCCTAGGTTGCTGGTGTGAGGGAAGGGGGGCGGCTTGTGGCGGCCTCAGCTCAGGCGCCTCGGAGGGGACCTGGGTCCAGGACGCAGGGCAGGCCAGGCCTGGGCCCCAGAGGGAAGGGCACTCCTGGGAAGCAGCAGGCCCGGCTCGGCTCCGGCGGGGGGTCTTTGTGTCTGAGCGCCGAGCATTAGAGCTCGCACTAATCTGATCCAGCAGCTGTGATTGGAGGCCGCCTGCCCCCGGGGCCGGCGTTGCCA